AAGATAAGCTGGAACATATTATTGCAATTTTATTGTTTAAAGTTTTAAAAAGACCTAAAATGTTTAATAGGGGAAACAGCAAGTGATTCAAAACTTGAAAATGATTTTGAGGATCGATTAAACCATGTGCAACATTCGACACTAAGTGTGATCGCGTGAGCTGAGAGCAGAATCGTACTACATGCATGTCAATTTCCGATCTCAGATAGGTGGCGCCTGTTTGAACGTTGGTCATCGAGCACCGGTGGTTCGTTTGCGCAACCCGTACGAGTGAGTCAGTAATGACCGAAATATTTGATCCCGAACGCGCTTTTCACATTTACTCGAGTGTCGCATGAATAACTTTCCGTATGACGTGCTTGCGAGACTGAAATTCTACAAGTCCGCCCTACAATTACGGTGGATTCTACAATGCTTTACTTATCCTCCATGGTGTATCAGTGGCTACGGTTTTGTGACGCTGACACGAAGGTCGTGGGGTCGATCCCGGCCGCTCCGGTGGCACTCGTTTGAGGCGAAATGGTTAAGCTCCGTGTGTTGGGCAATGTTAGTGAAGGCCGACATTTCCAGAGCCCTTTTTTGGTATGTCAAACCTCGGTTATTGTTATTACATTTATTTATTTTGCTATGAATTACGACAATTGATTTACAGCAGTGCATAACGGTATTCTTGCCGTTCTCTCGACGCTTTACGTAAGCAATAATCCAAATTGTGACAGCACCTGTACTTGGGCAAGAAGGCTACCAGAAAAGTGACTGCATCAAAAAAAAAAAAAAACAGTCAATTTAACGATTCCCTTGCGGGCCTACGAGAAAATTACGCGATGAATTATTTGTTTCCAAACATATACGGGAACCTTTACAGACTCTTCTGGTAATCCGACAAAAAAAAATAGTTTGAGAAATCAGCTCTTCCGTAGTACCCTTCAATATTGCACTTAGCCATTGAGTAGATGTCTTGACCGAAGAGCACGACGCGAGCCCCATGGTGACAGCCGTGCTCACGCGGTGCCTTCTGTATTTCGCACATCACAGACCTGATCTGCACACACGTGCAGACCAGGTCTCATATATTGTTGTTGACCATCTTCCTTTTTAACAAGATTAGCAAAACGATAAACTAAGTAATTTTCACCATTGTATTGATAAGCAATACAATATCTACACGCACAATCACAGCTGTCTGCCGCCTTCACTCGCGCTTCGCCGTCTGCTATACGTAGAGCATGTTGCTGCAGTAGCGCCACCTGTACCGGAAGTTGGCTTTCGGTTTTTCAGAGTTTGGCTAGTACACTGTAGTTCGTCGGAGGGGGGGGGGGGGGGGGCTTTGTAACTGAAACAAGTTCTATGCCTACATCCACGCGTTTCTGTATAGTAGGGGACTCGTTCGCTGGATTTCGTGCCGACCGGTTGTGCCCTCGCGATCTCCGACGTCAGCGTAGCTATAGCGTAGCTATAGCGTAGCTCTGGCCGACTATGGGCTGGCCCTACGTCATTTCCTGACGCCGATCTTCGACGACAGCGTAGCTCTGACCTACTTAACTTGCCCTACGCCATCTCCTGACGCCGACAAGAGCTCTCGCCAGTGGTGCCCCGTCTTCGGACTCCTGCAACCGTGTCCATCTTTCCTGTCTTCTCCTTACTTCCGTGGTTCGCTGTCCCTGCGCCTCACTCTCTCCTTCCTCTCTCCCTATCTCTTTACCTTTTAATCCTATCCTTTTAATCCCTTCTCTACCCCATCCCTAGGGAGCTACTGTTGATATGTGCTCCCCCTGAGAGACAGTTATGGGGCTCACTTTTCTTTTCACTTATAATCACTTCAGGTGGTGGAACACTTGGGTGCCTCGATGCGCACAAGCCTGTTGGTGAGGAAGGACGCGTGCATGCATAAGCCAACACGGTAGAAAAGCTTGCAAACAATGGTTGTTATGTAAGCTTACCTGCTATTTTAAACTATAAGAAGAAATGATCAGTAAATGTGCTAAAATAGTGGTACAATGTCATAAGGTAGCCATGGCGCGAACCTACAAACTTCGTCGCCAGACAGGGTCGGAAAGTAGCCAATTTGGCGCAAAGTAGCCACCCTGATGTATACCTTATATAGTCATCCATAAATAAGCTGTGCGCGTTTTCGTAGTCTTTAAAGGTACAGTTCCAGAGCTGCACACAACGTAGGATACACCTAAGCCATTAAGCAGTATGTTGGAAGTGCCGTTGATAGGAAGCCACAATGGCACCACCGCGGTGGTCTATAGTCGCTATGATACTCGGCCGCTGACCCGCAGGTCGCAGGATCGAATCCCGGCGGCGGCGGCGGCATTTTCGATGGAGGTGGAAATGTTGTAGGCCCGTGTGCTCAAATTTGGGTGCACGTTAAAGAACCCCAGGTGGTCGAAATTTCCGGAGCCCTCCACTAGGCGTCTCTCATAATCATATGGTGGTTTTGGAACGTTAAAACCCACATCAATCAATCAGGAAGCCATAACGGAAATACTATATATCGTGGTTTTAGCATCACTGACAGGCCTGAGAAGACGCTTTGCAAAATCCTCATTGTTACAGCGCAAGGATTGCCGGCTATACTAATTGCACAAACACTTGCGGCATCGGCAAGCTTGCGTGTCTTTGCGCAAGCTGAACTCCTGAAGGATTATCGTGCATCGTGAGCTGAGTGGCTGATCATTGCGTACGCGCTTTGGTTAGGAGAATAAGGATGGGAATTAATTTGTATAAATGGCTTCTGTGGACACTGCAGAACTTTCGCGTTTTTGTTTCTGTGGCTTTGGTATTATTCGTTTCGATATATTTCACTATTTCTGTCGAAACGAGGCCAGTGAGCCAATAAGCGGGAACTGATTGTACTTTGATTATCCCGCGAAAAAGGAATTAAAATCTTTGAGTTTGTTGCTTGGCGCACTTAGCAAAATTAGTGCAGGGAAAGGATGCATAGACCGTACTACATATCCGCATTTACTTTGGAGAGTATCAAAGCCGCTCGAGAATCGCTTTAACCGACTGCGTGGAACAATATTTCTTTCTCTGGAGCTTAATTAGGAACACCGTGAAGGAATGAAGTAATCAGAAAATTTATTATTGGCGTACGTTTTATTTAAGTGCAATTTTCAAAGGAAAATGCCATATAGTCTACGAAAATGGCGATCCGCTTTTCTTGAAGAAACAGACATTGACAGCTGTTGTGGTCGGGGTGCCTAGAGATAAACGTGTGAACTATCTCGCTGCAGAAATATATACAGCGACTTTCGCAACGGTTATGACATGCGTCAAATATCCCACTTTAGCCGCAACGGCTCTTATTGGTTTCGAAGGGACGTAGCTGTACTTCGGGGGCTTCGTTTCGGTCCTCTGTTTTATTGGTAACGGGTGTTTTGTTGTAGAATATATATATATATATATATATATATATATATATATATATATATATATATATATATATATATATATAAATACTATCCATTTCATACCGACCATGCGTGTGCACGAAGTTGCGACGTATTGCAAAAGCTATGGTGGTTAAAGTTGGGGCATGTTTCTACACTTTCTCCTGTATAAATTGAAATAAATTTCTCACACGAGTCCGTTCCAGCGAAGATGCATTGCATTGTAGCCTCTCTCGTGGCCTTCTGGCGTAGTTTAAACATCCTTTTTTATAAGCGCGTACGAGATACGATTCTCTGCCGAAGTGTTTAAATGATCGGCGAGATAACGTTCGAAGTATATGTGCAACTCTTCAGCAGTCCATCACTTACAAGCTTCTATAGGGCTAATAAAGAACAGCTAAGCCGGATTTAAGGACGTACGAATTGCTGAGGGCAAGAGCATACGTACCACATGCCCAGTAAATTAAACAAAAAATACGTGCTAAAGCTATTATAACAATTATAAGAAGGTGTGCATATATGCGTATAAGATATATTTCGCGTAGGCACCGACGTGAGAGCTGTCAGCTTGACGCGCAGCCTACAAGAGAATCAGAAAGCTAAATGAACTCTTGCGGTTATTGCAAACAGTAGCGCGTGCCGCATATCTCTCGCAAGAAAAGATACTCACTCCGGATATATATATGCTCCGAAGGTGCCGAAATTTTTTTTAACAGCTTTGATACACAACACCTCAGAGGTATAATATAGCAATGCTTTCAGTTGGACCGAGATGGTGTGCTAAGTCTGGAAACTTGAAACAATATCGCTAAAAGGTTTGGATGCTCATTGAGCGTCAGAAGGTGTATTGAATCGTCTGAGTCATTGAATCGGTAATCTTCAGTCATGCGAATACGATACCACTGCGTACGCAAATTCTTGGAATAGTAGAGAGATGACCTTGTTGGTACGTATATTCGTTCTAAAAGAGGCAGGACGTCCAAATACGGACACGTTTCTTTGTGTTTCCACAAACCGGACAAGCCCGGCCGCTTTATAAAGAATACAGAAATTTGATATTTCGTACTCTACAAGTGAAGTTGAGGATTCATAGTTTCAACGCTTTAGTTATTGCAGAGGCGCACACAAATAAAACTGTCGCGTTTCGATGGCGCTGAATCGCTCTAGGGGACCGTGCACTTGGAGATGTCAGGGCGTGTGTAAGTACACCAGATGATCAAAATTTCTGGAGCACTCCACTACGGCGTCCCTCATAATCATAGGGTGGTTTCAGGACGTAAAAACACAACTGTTACTATTGTATTACAAATAAAACTGTCAATGCTGCATACAATTTCCGAACAGCGCCAGCCGTATAAGGACTTTCAACTACCGTACAACGCTTATGGCACCGCCATTAACACTGCAACATATGAATTGCGGAGTAAGAATAACACGCGGTGCAAACTCCCTAGCTTTGACTGACGTAGTTCACGGGACATTTAACTTGTACCGCTCGGAGGACACACTCCGATTATCGGTTGATGCCAAGTTTTACGCATCAGAACTGCCACCCTCCAGCACCTATTCGCAAACATCCCCGAGTTGTGACGATCCACTCACCTCGCACTCTGCCGATTCTTTTGCGTTAGACGACCAGGCTTGACACTCGTGTGCCTCGGGTCGCGCATATTTATACCTCTGCCCGTGCGCGTTCCTCAATCCGCTCGTGCGCATGCGCTGTCCCGCTCAGTCGGCCGTAGGCGTCGCCGGGCGACGGCGTGGGGGATGCGGTGTGAGCCAATGGAAGCGCGCTGCTTCGGTCGCGTATGCGGGAGCAACTCTGCAAAGGAATTTGGGGAAGAGAAGGGGATGCGTGGGCGGATATGTCAGTGAGGCGACTTGTTCATCTATATACGCAAACCAGCGTTGGCCTCTTTGTATGCCATTGGTTGCGGAGGTGCAAGCTCACAGTTTACGCCAGGAGAGTCAATTGCAGCAAGTGTGAAGTTGCAAACGTTAATTTTAAAAAATTAGCATGTAGTCTTGACGCTGACAAGCCTGTGCATTAGCGCAAGTTTTGTCCACTATACCGTCCATCATGCCTGTGCAGAACTAGATGTTTTTGCCGATTTTACATTTGATTTCTGCAAATGACGGTGGTAGGTGCTCGACAACCTTAATGACAGTGACCGTATGTAAGGTGGCGATAACTTTATAACACTCGCCCGTTAGTCTAGCACGTGCCTTCTTCATCCAGAAGAAGTCGGCGCGGGCATGCGCTCATTTTAATGTTCCCTAGTCCTAAGTAAGGCAAAGCGAATTCAACAAATCAATTTAACGTCGCGGTGCAATATAACAAGGGTGCATTCCATGCTCTTTGTAATGCAGCTGAAAGTTCGCAGAGCCGTAAAGCTTAAGTACGCGATGGGGTTACATGGTTAGAAGTTCAGGCGTTTGCACTGCGCGTGAGAAATGAAGAAAGAAAAAACAAACATATAGACAACTTAATGAAAAGTTTTTTTTTCGTATCACTGATTTCAGTGCTTATATGCATGCATAAAATGATCCATTGCACGTGTAAAGCTGATTTAGACATGATTTCTAAAAGGATGATGGTCACCCTTCGTCTAGTTAAATATGTGGGCACGCACTTAAAAAGATCTGCTTGTCATGATTCGGCCATACATCGGCAGTAAACAAAATACTCGGAATTTCGTCGTAAAACACGTCAGCCATCGAGTGAGCCCTGGGGCAAATTTGAACGCTGGCATTGAGTACAAACCGTGTTTGCAAAACTATAGAACGTAAAGCTGCGAGACTAGAATTATTCAAAGCTTAGGTGCCGTTAGCTATAGTGGTATCACAATCATAGAGGATTCCGAAAATAATATTGACCTTATTGGTGCCCCCCCTCCCCATCGCATTGCAGCCGTCGTGGCAAGGGTATAACTTGTGACGTCATGCTATGCAATTCGACGTCGGACATCCAATCCTTATGTATAACGCGACCGCTGGTACCCGCAACATATCTCATGCTCTGAACGAGCCAGTAAATTGTCAAACTCGGCTGCTAGATAATGAGCTCCGGAAGAATGGTGTGAACTGCTCATTCTAAATATGGAAATAATACAGTCTCGAGTTCTTAGCGCAGGTGTTTGCTGTATAGGAGGTCGTGTTTGCGCACAGCCTGCGGCTATACTTTGGTGGGTGCGAAGTGGCTATTTTTTTTCGGGTTCTGCGCTTTTCAATAGAAAGTATATATATAAATTCCTGTCGTCAGATGTTCGTTTACGACATGCAGGAGCAGACTGTGAAGTCTAGCTAATACTCGCGTGGCTGCTTTGACAATACTGCATGCTGCACGTGCGATACTTTTCTTTCTTATTTTTTCGTGGAAAAAAGAAGCCGAATTCGGTGGATATGATTGCAAATTCTTAACTTACTCTCCAATTTCCATTATCTCTTACGCGTGTGCGTCGAAATTTTGTGCACACTGAACTGGCGTCCTTTGTAATTACCAAGATTACGCACGGTATACTTGGATTTGAAAAAGGTCACATAAGGGATATCCTTAATAAGAAGCACACCGTAGAGTACGACATTTTAATAATGCATCTGTAATAGAAAATTTTGTTTCTTCAGTTTTGCAGTAATCAATAATATGATAAATGTGTGTCTGGACACTTCATGTTCAGGGCTTCACAGTATGTTTCTTATTTCTGACCGTGATGACCTTTACATGCATGCGTGCGTGCGTGCGTGCGTGTGCACGCGAGTGTGTGTTTGTGCGCATGATTTGTTCCTCGGCACGTATCCAGTCGGTCGTTTGTTGATATACCGCCATCACTCTTTGTCATACCTGTTTCAGAGTATAGGCAGATGTATTGGAAGACATTCTCGAATGAACCCCACGGAGAGAATATGAGAGGTCTTAGCAGTATGCTACGATCATCAAGCAAAGCAGCGGTTGCCACCAGCCATGATTTCCCAAAAGCTAGAGCATTTTTTTAATATAATTAGGAAATAAACATTTGGCGTATCCATCTGCTGCGCCGTTCTTGCTATTCATACGAACGTCGCACGTGATTAGAACGACGAATCTGAATTCGTCTCATCTTGCGGACGATGCCCTAAAGAAACACTCGCACACAGATGCACCATGGCTTGAAATCTTTGAAATTGTGGTTTACTCTGATTTGAAAAGCAGGTTTTATGTCTGTAGGTTGCGCATTTTGGTGCTAGTGTGTTTTTTTTCGTTCATTTCAAACATCTGTTGGAGCGCGGTACACGAATCTATTTCTTGTGTATTCATTTTCGGTGCGTGCAATGTCAAGTTCGCGTGCGTTTTCAAGGGCCATAGTTATTTAGCGTTGTCGTAAGTAGAAGACTCAATACGGTGATGCAGGCAAACACAACGTTGTAAAAAAAGCTGTTGCGGTGGCACCCCAGCGTTGGTGGTCTATGAGGATAATGTAAAGAAAGGTCAACGGAAAGGAACCCAGGTTCATCAAAAAAAAAAATAGTACTCTTTCATGGGGAGCCTACTTTCAGTATAAGTAAGTTATTGTTTGGGGAGTTCTTACAGGCATAATCTGGTTTTGCGTGTTTTTGTAGGCTGGATGTGATGTCTACGTAGAGGCAAGAAGAGAAAAAAAATAATTATTTGAAAATAGGTTGTTATGATGTTATGACGTTGACTTAGTTGTGTGCAATGTTTATTGGGCTGGAGATTGATTTTGGCATGTGCATATCTTCGAATATTCTACACCTCCCTATGTTAAACGCGTTAGACAAAGTGCGCTGAACGTTTGTCCATCCGACGTCAGGGAACGGCCAGTGGTCCTGATAATATTTGGTGAGAAGAGGCGACATTTGGTGTACACATGAAATTGAGGACGTAGTTGTCGATGGCATTGTTTGCAGAAAGCTCCTTATTGTACCGAATAATGCTCCACGCAAGCGTTAATTAATGAGTGCATGTTTTCTGGGTTTCTTCCGTGAACAAAATATAAGAGGTTCCAACTGGAAGGCTAGCTGCGCTTGGCCGGAAAGGATGAGAGGGGACTGTATGAAAGTTGTTGCGAGAATTTAACAATTACTACACCGGTCTCAAAGTAATGGCTTATCTATAAATAAGTAGCTGTTTTAGCAAAGTGGCGTTAGTCCGCTGCTTCTGTTTCTCATCGAGAAAAGTTTTATCGCGAATAAACGGTTCGTACAAGTGGGAAGAATAAACAATGTTTCTTCCCAATGAGATCGTGAAGTGTAGTCCTCGAAGTTAGGCTATAGAGGATCGCAGATATCATCTTAGCATTTCTTTTTTACTATTTACGTGATACGATATGACGTTGGCGCATAAATAAAGAGCCCTCTATTTATGCTTGCATTTTTCAGTCGCATGCTATGTTTGTGCTTCATGCTCTCAACACGCCCCACATTCGAAGTAAATGTCACATTGCTCTGATCCAAGTTGTTTGCATTCACGTATCGAATTATCTGAAATACGGTTTAACTTCAATGGCGCGTGCATACATATATGATTTATTTAAGACGAAATATTTTTCTATGTGATACAATCGGGTACGTTGCGCGTATTTTGAAGGCTCTCACAATGGTGGCGTGCCGTACTTCAACGGTTCTATTGCCATGACATTGTCGTTACGTCACAGATACCTCTGTTTCATTCTTTCAGTATACCCCATGTTCTAGGCTTTCCTATGTACAAGGTAGCCAGCTGGATGTTTTCGTTGCTTAACTTCCCGGTCGTTCCTTGATCAGTACCTTTCTCCTTGGAGTCCCTTTCTCTATCACCTTGTATCAGGCTGGTGTTTTACATGGAATAAGTTGGATGAAAAATTTCTAGCTTTTGACCCATCGCGTGTCAATGACGTTGGATGGTATCTTAGAAGTCGTGATGACATTGACAGGACAGTAAGTAATCGCACAATGAACTAGCTTATTTACCCATTTATTAATAATTCTCAAGGAGAGAACTATAGGGTTTCAAACGCGAGTTGCATCGCTACTGTTTGTTCCTTTATCAACATTCGACACCGACCATAGCGTTCCACGACTGCACCCAAACAATTGTGGATGCTCTGATTGCAGCTTCACTGCTAAAGAAATGACAATCTATACTATATATTGTGTTTACGTGCCTTTCGCTTCATAGTTTTAGTACGTATTGCTTACTCTTAAGCAGCTGTAGTGTGCATCGTTTTGGACTCGTATGTAGCCCTTTTATGCTTACTGACGTTTTCATCGATTACACCATAACTTTTACATTACCTCACGTCTTAGCTATTTTTGGCCATAACTGGCCCTCGGGTCATAAAACACCGTACACCGCAATTGGGAAGTGCAACTGGTCGGGCACTTTATGTTACAGCTATTGTTACGACTACATTGGTAAGGTGTTGACTCGGACGTGGACGTCTATTATCCTTGTTTAACGACCAACAAAAATATTGATTTGGCATATATCCGAGTCGAGCGGTAGAGTTAGTTCAAGATCGCAATGAATCCTCGGTTTGTTTACCATACTATATATGAATCGCAAATGTACGTTTTAAGGAGACGCGCGTGCTTCGGTCGTGACTCCCTATATCTGCTCGTTATAGGGCTGAACAGTATAATTGTAAACATGTGTAGTAACTAAGAATTTGCTGAACAGTGCTTTCGATTGCCACTCTCCGCTTGAGTGTTCATCGCTCTGTCTTCTTCTTCGTTTTTTTTTTTTTTTGCGTGCACCTGCACATCGGAGGTGGTGTCCTGTGAGAAATTGCGTCTTGACAGTGTGTTTTAGAGCTGTTACGAGCTCACCAACTTCGCACACGAGAGCTGAAGTTAAAGGAAGGAGAAGAAACGGCTTTTTATAGCGTGCGGCTTATTGCAGCCGTCGGAGAACGATAAACAACGTCGTTAGGGCCCACGCCTTAATTTGGCCTCAACCAAATCACTACTATCGCGCGCCGCCCGGCAAAGTGCCGCAGCCTGCGGCCTCTTGCGAATGAGCGCACTGAGTGGCAAGTTTGTTGTTTGTGAATCGCCGCTCGAGGCTCGAGTGGCATGCTCTGCGCGGACGGAGGCTGCAACGCGATTCACTGCACGTCGTGCGCTTTGGAATTAAAGGCTTTTTTTTGGGGCTTCGACACATGGCAGGTGGGTCTGTATGCTGCTTAGTTGCATTACCCCGGAATAATGTACATTTGCAGATTTGTTTTCTTTGTTGAGGCTGTGCGTGCAAGGTAGGAGTGTCACAGCGACGGTAACAGGCTAAATTAACAAACTCACACTTTTCTTAGCGTATATTTATTGACCAAGAATGGGGAATTGGAGCTTGCTTTCGTGTTTTAATCTTGTGCGCCCAGGCTTGGCTTGTTACCAAGCACCGGTTTGATTTCTATTGAGGGAAATACAATTACTCCGAGTTGTTGATTTAGACTTGAGCTATAGTTGTATTCCAATATGCTCTTCCTTTGTCATTCATATGGTCTTTGTAGATATTTTGAGCGAATAATAGAGCAGCAGGAATTTTATAGACCCGGACGGCAGCTTCAAATCTCGTGCGTGAAAAGGATTATCTTGTTCAAGCTTGGCTATTCTCTGGAATTTTTCGACATTCTAGTAAACGTTTTGATTTCGAACAACGGTCGAAGAGTTCGCGTGACCCTTACTCTTACCTGCACACGAAGGAACTGATAAAGATGGGGTGACATAAAGCTGGTTTGGTTCACGGGTGTTTGTAAGCCAGCAAGATGGAGAAACTTCTGTCCTGGCCAAGATCTCCGATGTAACACGCACAAGTGTAGTGCATAACACACAACCAAAACGTTAGAATCAATGTTTGTAAGCAAGTGAGGGATGAGGGAAGAATACACTGTTTTGTATCATAAAAATATGGCACAAGTTCTTTCTTTGTAATTATTGTGTCCGTGACATATTTTCCATTGCGAAGTTTTACGCCGCTCTGCCTCTTAGCGTCGTCACTGGCCGCGGGCAGGTCACTCACATTATGCACATCCGTGGTATTGGAACAGTTGGAGGCAGTCGACGACAACGTCCGATTATCTTTATTGTAGCTGGACTTCAAAGCGTCTACGTAGTACTTGTGGTCCTGGAAGCCAAAGAATAGATAAACACCCTGCAGACCGTTCAGAATGCTCGTAAGGACTTGGATTACAGAGGAGTTGATGAAGTTCAGCAGTCCTAGAAACCAGGGTGCGCCCATAATGAGGGCGAGCTTGAAGAACAACGCCACGTCAGAAGGCTGGTCGTGGTTGGAGACCTTGCCTTTCCGGGAGTCCTTGGTTTGTCTCACGTATATGACGATGTGCGCGTACAGTCCCATGTCTACTGCCAGCAGCGCGCCCATGGGAACTAAGAAGAAGGCGACGTAAGGACGATACTTGCCGAAGAAGCAGTAGTACTGGCCATAAGCGGGTGAGTACGGGACCATGGGACACCCCAGTTCAGTGCACAGCACGTGGTCACGAATAGAAACGGGATGCCCCACGCTACAGTTCCATAAAAAATCAATGTCTTGTCACTTCTTGCGCTACGCGCATGGACGAAATGTTCCTCCACATGTCGAACGATAGTACCGTGGTCCAGGCGAAAGTTGCAACGAACCCGAAGTGCTGGATAACGGAGGACGCCACACAGACGTCGGGGGAAACGTCGAGATAACCGGCCAGGATGTAGACGAGTTGAGTGAAAAAGAGCGTAGCGGACAAGCACAGGTTGCAACGCGACGCGAAGTTCCGGGACGCTCTGAAGATTGCGTACGTGATGCCCTTCATGATGAGGAAGAATAGCGACAGTCCGATGCAGATCATGATGAGGTAGTGTTGGTAGGTGTAGGTGTAAGACTCGTCGCCTGTGGTGTTATTCGCACTTCCTTGTATTTGTAGCTTGTGTCGTTGATGTAACACTTGCCGTCGAACCAGGCAGCGCAAGACGTGGCATTGACTGTAAGTTTCTTGACGCTGATGTGTTTGAATGCGCTATCACGGGCTTTTGCATGGTAGCGGACACTTCCTCTTTCGTCAGGATGGCATACAAGGGACGTTATGTTCACTTCATCGCAAAGTGCGCAGAACACGTTTTTGTATGTTTTGCTGGTTTGCTTTAGTAAAACAGGTTCCAAGTAAAGCTTGCACATGCTCTCGGCTTCCATGAATTCACTGCTATTAACTTTTCCGCATATATCGCTGTAATTTGTGATTGTAGTGCAGTAACGCAAGCCTTTCTTCAGAGAGTCCACCTGCAAGTCAAAGGTCGCTTGCCTGCTATCGACAGATGAGGTACTCCAGAAAACCCAGCTTTCGCTATCGTAATTGCAGAGTGCGCAGAACCCGTTCGAATAGGTGTAACCAGCTCGAGCTTGTTGCTGGGATCCAGGTGAAACGTTTCGTTTTTAGCGCCAGCGTCCTCACAGCCCTTCCTGACCTCGTCTTCCGGCCAGGAATCATTGCATCGAGTGACCATCACTACTTTGCGAAGAACACTTTTATGATCGAGTAGTGGAACGCAGCGTGTCTCCTTCCTGGACGCCTTGTTTGAAGCCACGTCAGCATCGAAGCAGCAGTCCTCGTAGTGAATACAGCTTGAATCATTTGAACATAGTCGACGTGTGTTGTCCGTGGAAGTCTCAGATGTCTGGGAACTACACTGAAGCAGTGATTGGACGAGTTCGTCGTTGCTGTTTTTGGCCGATCCTCGGAAGATCGTCATGTTGGCAGCACTGACGACCACATCAGATGGGGTCCAGCCACGGAGAGCCGCCATGGAGCACAGTAGGATTACGAGTGGCTGGCGCATGATTGCCTGCAAAACAAACATTGAACAGAAATATGAATAAACAATCGCCATGTCTCAAACAAGCAATAATATCAGTTGTAACTTCCATTTCAACAGAAAATACTGATGTGATAGAGTGAATAGATGCTCAATTCACAGTGTTTCGCAAAAACTGTTATGCCAGAATGAAGTACTGAACTTCGCTAATAGTGGCAGCCTAATAAAAGCTTTAATAATAGCAACCATCTACTAAGAACGTGGATTTATATCGTAACGAACGTTATGAACTTATGACACAGGTCGAGTAGTGACAAAATAGGCATAACCGTATGCGAAAAAATTCTACCAGTACATACATTAACTCTATTCGAAAGGCTATTTACAGTCGCGTACACAACAAATAAATGTATGGAAAGTGGCACTCTCTGTAGCAACGTAACTCTAGAACCTAGAACAACAGAATATTTGGATTTTATATTAGACACATCTGAGAGTGGCTAGTGTCACTTAATTGTAAGACGTATACAAACTGAAATAAACGTGTGGGTCGAAGCAATGCGGTGTGCTGGTTGCGCTCAGAACGGTGAAAAGCAGATTAGGCGATGGGCTAATTGTGAGAACCTTTCGTATAATGAACTAACCGAAAAAAATAGCAAGCCACTGTGTTTAGCTATCCATGCGTTCTCTACTTTTATTTTTTTTACTGTTCTTTTGTCCAGCGCGTAGGGAGCTCGATAAACAGTTTGTCTATAAGCTTCTAGCGTGTTCACACACTATGCGACCAAGGTCAGCTGGACCAAATTCTTTGTTTAATCATTCGTATAGGCACTGTAATGGCGAAACGATTACTCCACGTTTGTTTTTGTAGACGCGTTAGGCAACTGGCTCTAACAAAACTTGACCTGCGCTCGTCTGGCGCGATGTTGAAAGAGCGTGGAAGATGACAGCAAGGGGCGCCTGTACGACCAATTAATGTGCCTATGAATGCCCAAGGTCAATCGTCAATAAAATGTCCAATTTCTTTCCTCCTTTCCTTCCTTCTTTCTTTCTTTCTTCCTTCCTTTCTTTCCCTTTCTTTCTTGCTCTTTCTTCTTCTTTCTTCCTTTTTTTCATTCTTTCTTTCTTTCTTTCTTTCCTTTTTTCTTTCTTTCTTTCTTTCTTTCTTTCTTTCTTTCTTTCTTACAACAATTTTCTGCGGAATGCCCTTTCACTCTTTGTTCCATACAGCCTCGCAAATAAATAGCGGAATTTGCTGTATATATGTAAAACATGCATAGTGGACGTGACGACGTTGTTGACCGATTCTCCGATTTTTGCAAACTTCTCAGGAGGTCATTCTTCAGCTATGCACCATAGCCGTAATTTCTAATGCCACGTTTTTGCGCAAAGTGGCTTATAACGCACTAGAAATTATCTGGTGTAAAAGACTAGATCATCTCGATTTGTTAAAGAACTCTAAACTTGGGAGCCGCATTGTCAGACACATAACCAATGAGCTTATTAACCTGTTACTTCTTCTCCCGTCGTATAAAGGCAGATTGCTAATGAAGATGTGATATCCATGCTAAATACAGGAAATTTACGGCGCATGCGACTCCAGAGGCTGGACTCGTCTCATCAACTTCGGCCTCCGTCTGGACTCTTTCGACCTGAGACAACGGTGCTTTGCCAACTGTGGCTTGGCGTCGCTTTCAACAGTTTTCTTGCCTTCCGAATCGACACGAAACAGGGCTGTATGCGATCATTGCGACCGCGATGAAACGACAGAGCACGTTCTTTGTCACTGGCTTCGCTCCAGCCCGCCTTGACGACAGACCCTTATCAGAACAGTCAATGCTCGAATACCGACACGATCTGTCTTCGCACAGAAAATTTGTCAAGGCCTTATTGAACTTTTTGCGTGGTATAGTGGCCTAATGAATGGGCTATAGCACCCCGCTCTTTTTTCTTCGGTTTCCTTCTCATCTTTCTTTTCCATTCATACCCCCTTAGTGCAGGGTAGCAAGCCAGGCGCTACGATTCTGGTTATCCTCTCTATCGTTCGCTTGCTTTATTCTCGCTCTCTCCCCCGTCGTGTAATATATAGGTTCGATTCCTGCCCACTGCAAGTCATCTTTTCGCCCACTTTTCTTTCTTCATATTTACATTTATATAACAATTCGATCTAACTAATACGCCTATACTTTCCGTGGTATTATTGGAAAAGCCACGACCGGGCTATAGACTGCACCTGCGCGCGCAGGTGCAGTCTAGCCCGGCTGTGGAAGAGTGTGCCATACTCGCCGCCTTGGCTGCTGATGGCGCTGACTGACACTCCCACGTTTAAATTCACATATATACCCATTAAAGTGGCTGGGGGGATAGCCGCCGTGGTAGCTCCTTGGTAGAGCATCGAACGCGTTAATCGAAGGTCGCAGCTTTGGTTCCTGTGTACGGCAAATTATCTTTTCACCCACTTTTCTTCATATTTACAGTACAATTAGGTCTAATATCTTCCCTACACTTTCCATGGCATTATTATCTGTTAGATCTCATTAATATTGTGTAAAACACGGAAAAAAACGAGCCCTTAAGTATACACTTGTTTACTTAATATATATATTATATGCGTGTATATGTCTGTATGGGTACGTGCGTGTGAAGGTAAGGTGCACTCTGCTAAATATGCCACCGCCCATTTGGAGCTCAAAATGAACGATATGCGAAATGTGAGTTTTGAGAGTTGCCGGCTTACCATATGGCCTAGTACTTCATATACAAGGCTGTGAGGCGTGCGTGGCGTTTTTTTTTACTGTTACATGAATAAAACAGCGTTATACAGAGCAGGAAAAGGATCGAGTGTGTCGATCGAATATGTAGGCAAAAGAAATAAATCGAGTGTACCAGTTTTATAGGCAAGGTTACATTAAATGATGCGAATCTGATTACGTCACAGGAATTTTTAGCCTGGAGGTAGGTTCAGTTATCAAACTGGTTAGATATCGTATTATGCACCTAACTTTGCTAAACAGTAACATAAATTACGCACACTGACTCCTATGGGTTAATGGTATAATGCGTTCTTTAGATATATAGATCGCAGGGCTATAATATCGGTCAATACATGTTTTATCGGTGTGTATTTAAGCCAGATAACAATGCAAGTGTAAAAGGTAATATAGTATTAAGTGTGAAAAATCTGAATCATTGCTACAAGTATTTCTGGAGAACGCAGAACATCTCCTCGATATTGTTTCTCTTCTAAGGAAGAATGCGAATACCTTTTGTGAAATCTCTAACTTAGAACCCTTATTGACGATCATATGACGTTTAGAACTTCTCGAACCCTGCAAGTGACTACAGAAACCTGCAATGCGGACGACACATACTGTACTATTCTCTCTGGAAAGTTCGTTTTCAGTTAATCTTTGGAAAGTAACTGTATAAATGCGTCACCGATTATGCGGCATACACCGAACAGAGCCGTGATACATTCAACCGCAAAACGGATCTGCTAGCAGGAAAAACGGAGGTTACCTACCGACTCTTACGGCACAAGTAGATGTCACGGTGCACTGTCAGCGGCGGTCACTGTAGCGGTGGTGTCACGGTACACCGTCTGCGATCTCCACGTGCTCGGGCCCGGAGAACGCGACGTCTTCAGTTGCCTCGGTCATCTTCGCCTCTTCACTGCGGCGTGTGTAGGGCGAAGGAGTCGTGTCGAAAGCATCGCCGCCGTCTGTAAGAGGAACGCGCTTTCACGACGGTCTAAATGTGGGAAGCGGACACACGGGTGTCTGCACTTTCACTAACAGAGAAAGGGTTGACCAGGAAAAACCGGCGAGAGAAGGCTGGCGCCGTGTATTCAGCCACTTCCATGTGTGTACGTATGTATGTACGAATCCACGCGGCGTGAAGCAAGCTTTAGGGGGGCGGTGCTCAAAAGGTCAGCCGGTCGCCACTCGAGACCTTACTACGGCATCGTGTATCAGACCGGTTTGCGATTCAGGAACGAAGGGCGCTACGCGGATCAAGTGCACGTGCGCATCTTTGTGATTTGGTTGTGCCGCAATAGCTGTCACTGTCATGAGCGGTTGCGAGGAATGTATAAACAAGCTCAAATCCGTTACGAAAAATGTGCAATAAGCGGTTGTAGGTCCGGGGCCTCTCAAAGCATTTGCTCGCGACAGCTGGATGACTAAGCTGTTATACAAGTCGCCTAAGTGAGAACACAGCACTGCGTAGCGCGTTTCTATGTTTGAAGTTGTTTCTTGTGGGTTTAATTTGGTTCGGTTGTCTAATGAATGCAAGTAGTGACAGCCCAGACTAGTCCGCAAAGTTTGCCGTGGTACATCATAGCGCATATAATTTCGTGAATTAGAAATTGGCAGATGCCACGTACAGTGGGAATCGATGATATGCGAAAAACGAATGAGGGAGGTTGATATCACTTCAATATCAACACAGCGTTACGAGGCAGACGTAAATTATGCCCTACATGACTTCCATGTCATGATTATAATGTTTGGACGTATCATTTACCCTCGTCGTTCATTCACGTCACATACTGAATTTGGTATATTTGAAGCTGGTGAAATGGCCTCGAGCTCATCATGAGCGTGGTATGTTGTCATGTTCTTATATGACACGCATGTCATGATTATCATGTTTGCACCAGTCACATACCTTCGTCATCCACTCACGTCACGTGATACCAAATTTCGTATATGTGAAGCTAACGAAACGGCTGCGAGCGCATTATGAGCGTGGCATGTAATCATGTTGTTACATGACACACATCTCATGATTATGATGTTTGCACTAGTCACATACCTTCGTCATCCATTCACATCCCTTAATACCATATGTTGTATATGTAAACCCAGCGATACGGCCGCGAGCACATCATCAGTGTGGCATGTAGTCATGTTGTTACATGACAAGCATCTCCTGATTATCATGTTCGGACGTGTCATTTACCTTCTTGGTCCGTTCGCGTCACGTAATACCAAATTCGTTATATGCGAAGCTAGTGAAACGACCATGAGGGCATCATGAGTCTGTCGTGTAGTCATGACTTATATGACATGGATGTCATTATTTCCACGTTAGGGTCTGCCACTTGTGTTCGCCATGCAGTCATGTCATACCATACCAGTTTTGCAACATGTAATGTGAACGAAACCACTGCAAGAGCAGCAGGTCCATGAAATTTAGATCATGACATGATGGCATATATGCCATGATTTTCGTGTTATGACTAGTCAATTTTGCTTGTCATGCAGTCATGTTATGCCATACCAATTTTGGTATCGATACCAAAGTCGAAACGGCCAGAAGAGCTAAAAGTCATAGGTGGCTTGATAGATAGATGAATAGATAGATAGATAGACTCAGTCACTGAAGTTCGCTAAGATAAGTTCTGCCTTGAAAAAAAAAATAAAGAAAATGACTGCAGTTCACGGAGGAAGAAAAGATGCTGCAGTTTATTGCCGCACTCAAAACGCTGCCAACGCTACCTGTTTCAGCGAGTGACTACTATTTCCTCATGGTTCCGAGATGCGTGTTCGACGTAGCTACGAGACTCTCTTAGGTGGCGTTGCGTGCGTACCTCATGCCACGCTTCATTTTTATTAATATGGCAGGTAAGTCTCATCAGCCATAATATGTATACTATGTTGTTGTTTTCTTTCTTCATATTTTCTCGTTTTTTTCCCTTCCCTGTTCATTTCAAAGTTTACCCTTTGAAATCGCCTGGGGCCCGATTTCCCGATTTCGCAGGACTTCTCTTTTAAAGGTGTGTTTTCCCCTTGGTCAGCCGGCTTCGATAACAATATGTGCCGCATTGAGATTGGCTGAAATATTCTCATAAGAAAACTTTTAGCGTATTACATTTTTGCGAATACGCACCCAGTAGCTGGACCCGTATAATAATTCGTGCGTAATGTATTAAGTCGTTCTTGCATAGAAGTACTTTAAGTCGGCCAGCATCATTGGGTAACATTTTAAATAAAAATATTCTGACTGCCCTTTGCTTTATGACTTACCATTACCTAAAAATCAGTTCCGTCCATGATGTCTGAACACTTGTGAGAGCGAGCCAGAAAGATAGGTGCTGCGTTGACGTTGATGTTGCACGCAGAAGGACTTGAAACCAATACTAATTTAACATAAAAATACTGGTTGATCGCCCATCTGTGCAATAGAAATGATAATTAGGATACTTCGTAAGAGCGACAGCTAAACTTCCGTTCTATAAGAATGCTTGTTTATAACCGCTCGTTTCACATGCTGCCAGTTCGCGTCCATCTGGAAGCTCAGAAGAAGCTACATAGATAACTTCAAGCTCCTGTGTGACCTTTCCTGGCATTAATCACTAGAGTTCTTCGACGCGATGCTTAGCAGCACATTGCCGAAAATTCAGTACGCTTTGCTTCCCCCCTGGCGTAATTCCCCATTACAACCAGACATCGTTCATTAATTTGAGCGACCTTGGCTGCAACATTATTATCACTATTCTTTAAGGGTATATCACTCGCTCGTTTTGTTTGTAAAGTCTCCTATGTAGTATAAACATCGACCTTAAAAGCCTTTGCAAGCATATAACGTTATGCCTTGAGCATTAAATTCAGTTATCAGTTTAGCAGTTTGAACAAATATGATTAATCTTTTACCGGCCAAGGCCACCTTCGTCGACGACAGAACCCGTTGTCACTTTTTTTAGCTCACACTTTTTTCTGCCTTATCGTCGTCCTAAATTATTTTTACACTCTTAATGATGTTACTTTGGTCTCAACCCTTGATGCCGTGTAACGATAATAAAACTTCTCACCTTTGACTGTCACTGCAGCTTTGTTGTCGTTCTGAAATGTTTTTTTATTGTCACACCACGTGCACGTAACTGTGTATAGCTGCCTATTTATTTCACTATTATTTATGCAGGTTGTTTCTATTTCATGAACCAGCGGCGATCGTGCTACGTAGTAAGGTAAAAAAAAAAGCAACCAACAAACAGGCTTGCAACGTACAACACATAGGCTGTCCACCTGCTTCAACATTGCTGTTTCTCTCCGCCGTGGCAGATGAGGAGATAGAAAAAAGTACTGTATCTGTATAGTATGTACATAATCACCACCTAAAAGTACAGCACAGTCTTCACGCATTGCGCAAAATAATTCCACCAACTGGAGAGTAAGAGCATACGTAACAAGCATTGCTTCCTCGTGTGGGTGTAAAAAGCATTCAAGTTACAAAGTTTGGTTGCAGAGCATTGTACCTTAACAGTATGTGGCGTTGGCTTTCATTCTGTCCTACAGAACGTGTGCGACACAAGTTTTCGCACTAAGTGAGACCTTAATTTTTCTTGGCATTTATTAGGAACTGTTATAATATGTTTGTGGACGCAAGCGCGACACCTTCAATGTCTTTCTAAATATTCCTTCAGTACACTACACTAGAAGGCTAAGGAACATGTAAACTGTTTTCTACCAACATTTTCTATAAAATACGTGCATTGAAGGTGTAATGTACAATGAAGTTTTGTTCTAAGTTCCCGTCAAAAATTGGCGTATGCATCTTTGATTTTGAGGGCATGAACCACTGATCTAGTGTTCAGGATCCGGGTACTAAATTCAGTATAAATTTGAGTTGTGTACATGCTGCAAATGACACAAGTTTGCTCCAATATTAAGAAACACAGAAGAAATCGTACAACTTCTTTATTGGTAAAAACAAGACGTGTTAACTTTTATATAAATATCATAAATAATTCAACATCTCTTTACAAAAGTATAAATATCAAACTAGGTTAACATTCGAACAAATAAACATCCGGTACGACTGCGTGCCATTGGACACCATATAGTTGACTTAAAAATCGGTCACGATGAAAGACTTGTCGGCATCATCTTGAGTCCCTCGTATCTCTGGTGCTTTCTCCATGCGCAACTGTGGAATTTGTGTTGGTATCATTACTCAATTGTTTAAGATAGTGCCTATATATACTCCAACTGGTAGATAAACAAGGACGCTAGTGTAAAGCTGGCAGCAGCACTGAAGCATGGGGACTGCTTTCGATTGCTTTTGCGTGGCACGTGATTAATACAGACTCGAACATGTTCTGGCGTGCCCTATGGCAGACACAAAAAGCTAATCTGCCAACTTTATGGTCTGGCTTTATTGACGCTAACACAACAAGTCTTGTCAAATCGCCGAAATGTTTTCGATGCACCATGCGCGCAGCGGTTGTCGGTAATGCTTTTGAGATGACGAGGCAACACATTACGGTAATTCGTGCTATATAAGTGTGATGGACGTACAGCGGAAAATGGAAGCTTGCAGGGATGCGAAAACTGAGACAGCGGCGCCGCTTGTTGAAAATTTTTTTCACTGTACTACATGTGTTACGATATTACACAGGGCGTGGTGTAGGAACGCTCAGATATCTTGTTCGATGGTTTAGCGTATACCGCTACACGTTGCCCACGTTTTATTACGCCTCTGTGGTTGCTTCGTAAGCCGTAGTGAAGCTGGGCTTAAGGGGCTGGTGTAATTATTTTGTAATTATGAAATCCTCTAACGGCGCAATGCTGCAAGAGACCATGAATGCTTCTTAATTGCTGATTGCCATTCAAATATGACACTTAACCGCGTTCTTTGAGATCATTGTCAACGGGCGTCAATGCGACAAATTGTTCGATTTTTTTTTCATTGGCACATTTTATTTTCTATAGGGCACATATTTAAGGAGCTCTGTGGCAAATCGCAAAATGTGCGCTTTATTTCGTTTGTATTTGGGAGGGCAATTTTCAACTCAGAATTAGGGAGTCAGTGAGGTCTTCAATGCCCTATAGTTCGCATGACTTGTCGCCGCTATCAGCTATCACTAATAATATTTCGTATCCACTCATAGATAATCGCGGAAATGTTCTAGTTGAATGAACTCGGCTAATCATTCGTGCGAATGAGTTTATATAATCGAGCAGTTATTTCAAATTGTCAAACATATCAGACATCAATACTGCGAGGGCAGTCGACGAGTGTATTTAAACGCGCATAGCGTGCATTTCGAACAACTGGTTTTTTCAGTCAGGCTGTTTTAATACATGTGAGGTGTTTTTATTATAAGTATAAGATCCACTAGCCTTTTCTTGCCATCAACATTTCATGAATGAATTAAGTTGTGAGACTTGGAACTACAAACGTAAGGCAACATATGAAGAATAAAAAATTATAAGCGCAATTCAAACTGTCATGTAACTGTTGTAAATAAATGAATAAGGGGCGTGGGGCATGAGCAACGGCCACGACCGCTAGCTCGCTCAGCAGTTCCGGTCGCTTTGATACAGTGGAACGTGCGGGCACGCGTCGCTTATTCGCGTTTCGCTACCGTGACCTTGATGGTATACTTGACCTCGCTTGAACACAGCAAAACAGGACGCCTGCTTGATCAACGGTACGTGCACAAACTGACCTACGCGTAGTTAACGTAACGCGTGTTGCGCATTGATGACGTGCGGAACGAGTACACTGTGTTTGGCCCCAAGAAATAGTGATATGTGCACTAATCACGCTCGGCACTTGTTGTACGAGAGGAAGAGCGCCTCTGTAACGAACAGTTTGTCGATCTATACGCCGCTATTTGTACTCGCAGTTCGTGGAATCGATCACGAGGCTGAGTAAGCGTATCGACCGTGGCTCTTGAGCAGTTTCATGCCGAACAATAGTACGCTGTGCAAGAGCTCGAGCAGCCTTAAGACCACCATGTCCGACTCGTCTACGAAACTGGCGTAGCCGGGGTTGTGGTTCGTCGAGATGTCCTCTGGATAGGTCAGTCCATGCTGACCGTCCTTCTTCACATCTTTCTCATCGTGCTTCGGCGATGTCAGTTTTGTAGTGGCGGTGATATCCGCTCTCTTGTGGTTCTCATGCCTCGTGGCGTCGGTCGATGTGGGAGTCAGTATAATCGGTGCTCCGTCCATTGCTTTGGTAACGGTCACGTTTTAACCGGCGGGTGACTCTTTTTTCAGGTGTTCGTTTCACGGGAGCTTGTTTTCCTTTCGTTAGCCGCCAGACATCCTGCAATCAAAAACGAAATCACGAAATAAATTCTCAGTCATTCTTCTGTGATGTTTGTACTACTCTTAACAGGGCTAGCTTTCATAACGCAAATACTGTGGAACATTTGAAAGGCTTCTCACACTACACGTGCAGCCGAAAGCAATATGAGGGCTCAGCTGGTCACAGCGGCATTGCTTTAATTTGATTCATGGTTATTGTAAGGAAGATGTGCACCCTCACTAGCTCAGCAGCCGGATCGTCAGCGCTACGCAGGGGAGGGTCGTGATGGACGTAGTTGGTGTTCACGCTAGTTAGGTCTTCGATCATATACTGTCCCATATCACAGTATCTCTTGACAAGAACGTGTGTTAGCTGTTTATTATAGTAGAGGAATCGCTTGGTGACTTCGCCTACTGAAACTCGCACAATCGTTGACACTTCAACCTTCTGTAACTGCTGCTGAAAGTATGGCTCCTGTTATGGCACACGTCATCCCGGGATATTAATCAATTCTTAGCTCGCGATTTACTGTGGCTGCAAGCTTATGTCGCATATGTTGCGGTGTTGCGTGGATTTGGAGAAAGAGGGATAAAGGAATGGAGGACGGTTAACCAGAGCACGACTCCAGCTTGCTACCCTGCAATTCAGAAGGGGAAAATGGGGTGCGAAAGCAGAACGAGCCCTTTTGAGGGCGTTGTTGCGGTTTCTGCAAGCACGGGACTAAGCGACAAACTGTGACTGTTCGCGTACAATGTTGCTATGAGAACTAGGACGATGCCCCTGCCCTCACCCACCCCTTTTTAGCACTGTTAAATACTTTTATTAAAGTGCCCGAAACGAAATGTTTTCGTTTCACGGATACTTGTTTCTTAACACCTAGTACGTCATGACAAAACTTTTCTGAGCTTGTTCGGCAAGCTTCTCAAGCTCGCGCGTTGTCCAGCGGGCACCGACGTGCACACCCTGCAGTGTTGCCAGTGTACACTTCTGGTCCATGCTGGCGGCATTTTTTCCTACGATTCTAACAATATTCACTACACGGTGCGCCGCCGCCCAAAGTCCACGCTTGCATTTCTGAGCGTGCGGTCCCTCAACGCACACGTTCATGACATCGAACATGATACCATTCTGACCGCAGCCGACGCGCTCTGCTTCGCCGAGACATGGAACGCTGAAAACATGCACATCAATGGATTAGCTCCAGTCGCCTGCTGCGAAGAAGCGGAGCGTCCTGCGTCAAGCTACTTGCGTCAAGCTACCTGATGTGGCTGAAGGTCTCACGTTGCCAATAACCAGCCAGCACAATAACAGTGATCATGTTGCTGTGAAGCTCTTATCCGAGATAGCAGTCACGGCCATGTACTCGGCACCGAACTTGTCAGAAGGAGACGTTACTAAGTACATCGAGAATGCAAGGCATCGATACAGGACCTTCGTCCCGAGTCGTGAAACTCGGTCCCTACGTAATTGTTGGGGATCTAAACGTTGACATCACGCAAAGCGATTGGATAGTCCAATAAACGTCCCACTACCATCAGGGGCACCTGTATCGATGTTGCCTTCTCAAACTTTTCATTGCATCCTACCATCGATGATCCCTTAGCAACATACTCTGGTGTTCATAAAGTAATAATCGTTAAAAGAGAGAGGGAGAAATATAGAGGAAAGGCAGTAAGGTTAACCAGAAGAAGGTTCCGGTTTGCTACCTTGTGCTTGGAAAGAGAAAAAGGGGTGTAAAAGAGCAAAAGAGAAGGAGAGTTGGTGACAGTATAGGGAAAAATATGATGTGACTAGCACTATCGGAACACTATAGAAAGCAACGATGTCCGCGAACAGTCACAGTTTGTGTCTAAGTTGGGTAGCTTGCAGGACTGCAACAACGCCTTCAGAGCGGTTCGTGATGCAGACTAGGTAGGCCATGGCCCCAGGATTTTGTTCTCTGTCAGGGGGCAGTTGTCCAGCTGTCCTAGGGCGGCTGAAAGAGTCGCCCTTTCGCAGTTGAAGCGGTTGCAGTCACAGAAAAGGTGCACGACTGTTTCGCTGCATCCGCGTATTTCACATAACGTTCGAACATTCCAATAAAAAATGAATAGGAATTTAAGACTGCCACTCCAAGCCACATACGAACCAGCAAGGTTGTGTCATGTCGGGATATGCCCCGCCACGGTGGTCTAGTGGCTAAGGTACTCGGCTGCAGACCCGCAGGTCACGGGATCGAATCGCGGCTGTGGCGGCTGCATTTCCGATAGAGGCGGAAATGTTGTAGGCCCGTGTACTCAGATTTGGGTGCATGTTAAAGAACCCCAAGTGTTCAAAATTTCCGGAGCCCTCCACTACGGCGTCTCTCATAATCATATGGTGGTTTTGGGACGTTAAACCCCACGAATCAATCAAATCACTTCGGGATAGGCTGTGTGGGAGACGCAGCTGGAGGTCAAGGTCCAAAGTACGTAGCCGTGCACTCGTGACAGACGATGATGATGATGATGAAAAACATTTATTATAAAAGAGAGAGGTACGGGGCCAAAGCATGACCCTGCTACATGGTCGGCGTCCTTAGTCCGGGACACCGCATGACGAGGCCCCTACTCGCGCCCGTCTCACCAGAGCCCGTTGAGACTCTAGTGATGAGCTGTCGAGGAGGGCAGTCTCCCATGCCTCTCGGGAAGGGGTAGGGGAAGGGGGTAGGTGGGGATTTTTCGGACATGCCCATACCATGTGGAAGATATCACACGTCTCCCCACATTGTGGGCACCGCCCATCTGTGTTCGCATCGAAATGCTTTAGGATTGCAGGACAGAGTAGAGTACCTGTCTGCAGGCGCCTTAGAGTTCGCTCTTCCGCCTTACTCAGCCCCTTTGCAGGAGCCGGGTAAAGGCGGTGAGTGTCACGATAATAGGTGAGAATTTCTTTGAACCGCAGCAGCGGTGTATTGGCCTCCGAGTCATAAGAGCCAAGGTGAGGAGCCCGGTGGGTAAGCGCTCGGGCGGCCGCGTCAGCGGCCTCATTACCTCGTAGGCCCTGATGGCCAGGAGCCCATACGATGCGTTTCGGGGCTGGATCAGCGAGAGCCCGTTTTAGAATTTGGCTGGCTAGGGGGGATATCTCTCCTACCAAGTAATGAGTACATGCTTTCCTGGAGTCCGTGATGATAACTTTCGAGTTGGAGAGACGATGAATGCCATAGGTCTAACGTTAGACAATGGGCTAGCACACGAAATTCTTTTGCTGCGTCGGATCAGGAAAGGGTAACGGCGACACTCCTGACACCGTCATGTGTGGATTGGGCAGCTGCGCTCACTTGGTCATTGTCCTGTATTCCGCAATGAATAGGCAGCCACTGAAATACCAATTTGCGCCCCTTTTCTAGTATTGCATGGTGCACTTGCCTGATATCCGCTACGAGCTGCTCATGAGAACCATGACGTAAGGTGGACGGCTGACTTTGTAGGGCTGCTTTGCTATTGCAAAAGACTACTCCCGAATAAGGTGTCTGCTCTATAACAAAGTGGAAAGCGGCACAAAGGGCTACTATTTCAGCTGCTGTAGTTGGGGTTTGAAGCCCTTTTAGTTGTATTCTAATAGATCTTGCTAGAATTATAACAGCCATGACACTTGTTGCTGCTGTAGACGCACATTTCGGAAGACCGAAGCACGTTCTTGTAGCCTGAGCTTGCAGCCTCTACGTAATAAGCTTTAAAGGGAAACAAGTCTCCAAGCTTATGCAGGAACGCCTTTCTTATACTTTGTGATGGTGAATAGTGATGTTCTATGGCACGAGGGCCACGACCTTTGGTGTATGGATAATGTATATAGTGCATGCATCATTAAGCAATCATCTTTAAAGGGAAACGAGTCCCTAAGCTCATTGATTGACGCCCTTCTTGTATTTTTCAGAAGGACATCTCTTCTGTATATAAAACGTACATAGTTAATGAAAATGTTTATAGTGAATCCAAATGTAGATTGTGATATTGTGTATGTAATGAATATATAACAACGTTGTAAGGTCTATGTATGATGATAAGAGATATGTACGGAGGATTCGCGGGGTATCCGAACATCCCCGAACAAGCTGCTCTAACATCATTCACTTTTTGGATAGGGCAATAATAATTTTATATATGTTCGCATTTGATGTGGTTATGTTATTTTTTTCAGAGTTGCGACCATGATGAAGCCACTGCCTGGCTGGCGGACAAAGTTGGTCGGAAAAGTCAGTTTAATCCGTAGTTTCAATACACCTAGTTTGGTTTCAATTGCTTGCTAATATAACCTTCTACACCGACTGGGCTGAAGGAAGTACATTTAGCTGTCATTATAGATTTAGTAAGATATTGTTTCGACAAAGGAGCAGGAAATAACAAGATGAACAACCGCCACAAAAACAACATTCAGGCTTCTGGTTTTGTGCGTATGAGCTCCACGCAAAAAAAAAGACCATAAAAGTGACACATCTATCGTGAACAATGGCGAAGAAAGCGAAGATTGTAGGACTCAACACACGGAAGTATGCAATTACCGCAGAAAATGCATTATCCATGGCAATGTGGCTGCGTCCCTGAATAAGATTTTTTGTTCTCTCTGCTTTGTCCTCCACGCATTACTCGCTTGTAAGATCAGGATTGTTTACAAGGACGCGAGAATGCAATTTTGCCCAAGTTTGTTATCTCTCATGGAACAATCCCTTTAGTAAGGTACAGTGGTACATGACTTATTTCTTCACTTCTCTAGTATTTGTGCTAGATATATACTCTTGAAATCTACGAAGTGAGACAGAGAAAATTCAATTCGTGGGGGCGAAAAAAGAACATGGTTGAACCTTCCGTCATAAGAATCGATATAACGTGGAAGCAAAACATCTCCTTATAAAAGTACCCCTGCAGGAGGTCGAAATTCCCGGTGCCCTCCCCTGCGGCACCTCTCATATATAAGGTAGTTTTGGGACGTTAAACCCCACAGAACAATGAACAAACGAACGAACGAATCAATCAATCAATCAATTAAAAATTAATAAT